TAGTTGGCTCGATGAAGGAGTTCGGATAGAGACGCTGTGGTTTCCCGCTGATGGCCTTCTCGATCTTCGTAGTTTCCGTCGTCGTCGTCGATGTCTTCTTCTTCTTCTTGTTCGCCTCCTTCTCGTAGTTTGGTGAGCCTTTGCTAAAATAGAGATGGGCTTGTCGTTAATAAAGCATATATATATACTAGTATGATGGCATGGGTAATACCTTATATAACAGCATGGAGACATGGAGACTATTCATATCTTATATAGAGGTACCACAGTAGCAAGGACTCAGAATCTCTAATGTTGTTTGCACTGATGCATGTCTTCTAACGTAACGTATTCAAATTTGGTGCGCATTTATAATGTAAAGAATGTGCGCGTCAAATTTACTCTATCATTCTATCACTGTAAATCGCATTTTCTGCTTGTTTTCTGCATTTTCACCAATCATATGTTGGTTTTTAGGCCTGCTTGTAACATTGTAGAGCGCGCTAGTTAATGCTACAGCGTATATGCTTGTTAAAGCAGGGATTCGCCGAGGCAGAAACGGATGGACGCGTGCGTGCATAGCGTGTGTTCATGCATACTCGCGCGGCGCGCACGTGCGTGTGTGTGTTTGTGCTCGCGTTTGTAATGACCTGCTAGTTTGCTCGCAAGTAGCAGAAAAAAATGAAATCAAACGGGCGCAGTGCCACCAATGTGTATGGTCACTGCGTGTAATTGTTATAATTCTGTCCGGTAGAGGGAGCAGTGTATGCTGCGTCGATACTCTGCCTAAATGAACAAGGAGTAAAGACCACTAATAAAGACAAAGTGGGTGGGGGGGGTTAGTTGGCAGTATACCCGTATGCAATGAATGAGTCATCGACATGTCATTTTATTGCAATTTCATTATAGAGTTTTAAGCGCAAACATCCTGCTGTAAAATGATTTTGATGCCTGCTCATTCCGCTCGATCCATTCCTATTTCATTTTGTTGGTGTAGCGGTTATGCTGAAGTGATGTTTCTTATTTATTTTCGGAGTCTTGAAAAAATAGCGCTGTGTTGAAATAACTAAGCTCGTAAATCTTCGACTGTGCATAATTTATTCACAGTTTGTTTTTATGTGAATCCGTTATGCGGGTTTGATCGCCTACTGAATTTCCATTACGCTACACTTTTCTGAAATTGCTGGTTTTATGTTCATACATATCCGTAATGTTATGCGTATATGCGAATAGTATCCGTTCTGTTGGAAATGCATTAGCTTGCTTTTAATTTAACTGTGATAAATGATCTGCCGCTTAAATGTGAGAGCTTCGTTTGTCACGCGCATAATTAATGCATGTTAGATAATTGAATGATTCCGGCAAAAAACGTTTTATAAAAATGTTGTATTGAGTCATGTTCATCCACCGGAGCATATGCGCATGCGCGGTGATCACGTGTCAGCTATAGGTCAACTAATGACCTACACCGCTATATGAACTGATTTCTTATTTCTGTTTATTCCATGTCTGCTTGGCTCTTCATCTCTGGTGGCTCCTGTGTGTGATATCTGGCGAATTGTAGGTGAGTAATTGCTGGTTACATGTAGCGAGTATGCCCAGTATGCATGCTTTGCGTCGTACCTGTGGTGACAAAATGAAAGTAGTGGTTTGTTCTGTCAATCATTTCTGTCACGGAGTGCTTATAATTATATACCACGCCGTGTCTAACCGTGTAGTTGTACTGTGGTTTACTATAGCTGCGTTCACACGAGATACACGACCTCGCTGGTTCCGTACTTATCTGGTGCTGAATTCGACTGAAATACCGTGCTAACACAACCCGGAGCGTTCAAACGAGAATCGAGGCTCAGCTGGCTAGGTATATTATAGACTGGTACCCGGTCGACAGTTCCACACGCTACACTAACGTTGTGTAGCGAACGGGTACTAGTCTAGGTAAGCGCACTACAGTTTCGCAATTCGAAATTGCGTTCACACGACAGACAATACGCGGCCAGCGTGGTGCCGAATGTTTCAGTGCGGAATCACATTCTGCGCCGAGTAAGCCGCGTATTTCAGTACGGTACTGAATAAGCCGCGTATATTTTTACTGTGTGAACGCTCAAGTACGGTACTAAAATCCTCGTGTGAACGCAGCTTATGTTCCACTCTATACTGTGTTACACTGTGTTATTATGTTATGCTGTGGTTTACTATGTTTTACTCTATACTGTGTTACACTGTGTTACTATGTTATGCCGTGGTTTACTATATCCCAGTCTCACCTATATCATCTATATCTATATCAGAGTTCCTGCCTGCCGTCTGACACTGTTCGTCTCGTAACGTAACGTAACGTAACGTAGCGTAACGTAACGTAGCGTTCGTGTGTCGTGACGTAACGTAACGTAACATTCGTGTGTCGTGACGTAACGTAACGTAACGTTTGTGTGTCGTGACGTAACGTAACGTTCGTGTGTCGTGACGTAACGTAACATAACGTTCGTGTGTCGTGACGTAACGTAACGTAACATTCGTGTCGTGACGTCACGTAACGTAACGTAACGTAACGTAATCTAACGTTCGTGTGTCGTGACGTTCCGTGTGTGACATCGTTCCATTCATCTGCTATCTCGCCTCGGTAGCACGCATGCTGTGCTCTTGGCTTGCCTGCTAGTAAACCAATACTGAGCAACAGAAGCAGCGCTAACTGCTATCACGAGTGGATGCTGTAAGATTGCACATATTAGGCAAAAAATGTTACAAGGAATGTCGAAAATTCCTCCGAAAAACGTGCGCGGAATCAACATCCAGCAATATTAGGCAATAATCTAATGATCGATCGATTAGTCTAATCAAAATTTAATAATCTTTGGCAATAATCTAATCATCCAATAGTCTAGTCAAAAATCTAATTAACTCTAGTCGCGGAAGCGAGCGGAGGGAGGCAGGCAGTCGGTGGCAATACTGGCTTCAGCTGGCACTGGTAGTGGGACTGATCGTCTCAGCATCCGTTGGAGCGTGAGAGCGGGCTGCAATCGCTGTTCTGCCCGCAAGCGGAATGAGTTTCTTGTGCAAACATTCTCGCGCGTGCCTATAATGACTCGCCCGTCAGTTGTGGAAACAAATCATTTGGCCGGCGGGCAGTTACCGCCTACCGGGAGGCCCGCAACCACCGCCTATAGGCCCTATACCGTGGTGCCCGCAACCACCGGCTCAACGTTTTGCAACGGCGCGTCCATTTATTTGCTAATAATTTTCGCTTCGCTCTCGCACTCCATCTCCGACGCACATGCGTGTAGTTTATGGCTTCCTCGTTGGGGCGGGGGCATGGCGGGTTGTAAGCGATGTTCGTTAGTAGGCGCTTACGCGCCCCGGCTGGATTCAATCGAGGATATAGCAGCGTGATGGTTTAGGCGTGCGTGCCCTCCTATATATCCTTAGGGCCCGCTAAGCCGCTGCGATGTGTGCATGTAGTGGGGGACGCAAAGCCTGCATCACCGCGTATGCGTGAGCTTTCGCTTGGTATTATATATATAATGTATAATGTGTGTGTGTGTGTGTGTGTGTGTGTGTGCGTGCGTGCGTGCGTGCGTGCGTGCGTGCGTGCGTGCGTGCGTGCGTGCGTGCGTGCGTGCGTGCGTGCGTGCGTACA